CTGCTCCAGCAATGTAGCTCACTATGATCCAGTCTAGCCCATGGGGACCCTGTAGGACAGCGTAGGTTTCCAAGGGGATTCATCTTTACAGAAGCAGACTGCCTCATCTTTGTCCCGAGAATCTACGGGAGGGTTTGACCACCCAGCCATTTGGGTTGTCAGACCAGCACTTCACCCCAGTATCACCAATACTCCTTTCCCAGCATTCTTTCAGGCCATCTTCTGTTGTCATTTGTAGGGTTTTTCCTGGCTAAATTTTGGGAAGTAGATTGTCAGGACATTCTTCCTAGTCTGTCTGAGTCTGGAAGCTCTGTCGAAGCCTATCCACCATGGGTGACCCTGTGGTATTCTAAAGACCAGTGGCATAGCTTCTAGCAATATGATCTATCAAGAAATGAAATGAAATATTGTTACAGAATGTGGAGTATATAAGCAGGTTAGGGAATGGGCTCAGTTGCAATAGCTCTAGATTCCTGGAAACAGTGGGGTTTTGTAAGGGAAAGCAGGGGCGTGGGAATCGAAAATTTCCCCCTCATATGTTTCGAATGACCTTCTAACCTTGTATGTCACAAAAGACTCCACACCCACTTCAGTTTTACTTTTCCTCCCCCGCCCCCCAAGACCAATATTGAGATCCGAGGATAAAGAATCTAGGGGACTTTTTTTTAATGGAGAAATTTATTTTATGATTATCCCTGTTAACTTCCCTATTTTTTTCTACCCCCATCCTCTCCCTATCCCCCGTCCCTGGCCTCCTCCTCCTGTAAGCTTTCTGGAGTGGGTAAGACCTCGGTTCTTGGCTTCACACGATGAAAGAATTCATGCTAAGTGGGTTTTATGAAAGACAAGACAAGTTTCAGGTTTTACAGTCTCAAAAGGGTTCACAACTGGACACGAGCAACCACGTGGAAAAGAGCACCCACGTGTGTGGAACTGGGGGAGTGGGGAATCCCAGGGAATGAGTGATCGAGGGAGAAAGGGCAAGAGGGCTCAGAGGCCAGAGAGCGAGGGGGCAGAGAGGCTGTAGGCCCCAAGTAGGTCCAGAGCTGGAGACCCTCACCCTGCCCTGCCACTAGGAACTGGGTAAGAGAGAGTTAGAAAGTGCTCCCGGCCTTCATTCTAGCCCACCCTCTGGCTGGGGAAAGGTGTGGTTGAAGGTATTGGTTGCCCCCATTGGCTGGGTTAAGCCCACCTAGGTGATATCATGAGCCTGGGCCTAGTTTGGGCCACCCAGGTGTATCTTCCACCTGGCCTGGGGGCTTGAGTATGAGCATGCTCAGTTTGGGGTCTTCCTCGGCGTCTGATGGTTACCTGATTTCTTTTCAACCTCTACTATGGGAGCCTTTGCGGGCATGGGAGGGACACCCCTTGTCCCTCAATCTAGCTGCCTTACACTTGGAGTTGTCCAAGTGTTGTCTGTGGGTCTAGAAGCCAGGAAGCCACACTTGCGATGGCAACTTTGGTTGTTTGGGCCTACAAAAGGAATACTGCAGGTAAGGGAGAACACCTGCTCTTAGAGTGACCTGAGCCAAAGGCAGGATGGTTACACAAGATGGCTAAACCTAGATCAGACAGGCTGCTGGCTCAGTGCTGCCGGAGGTCCCAAACCATATGTATGCGAATGGCAGTCGGTGGGGTGGGGGTGGGGTGGGGGGAGAAAATGTTGGATTTGAGTGTTTTAACAATAATTATGTGCATAGCTGACTGTATGGATATTAGTTTTTCGTACCTAGTGTTGTAAAATAGATATAAATTAATATTGGGAACTAATGCCTACAGGGCACTTGCAAGCTTGTTAGGTAGGCAGAAGCAGGGACCAGGAGGTGTCCCCCTCCACACCTGGAGGACCCCTACAGGAGGTTGCTGTGGAGAACGGATGAGCCTTAGCTGGCCATAAAGACTGTTACTGGGCATGCGCCAATTCAAGCCCAAGCCAGGTCGGCGGTATGTGTGGGTGGCTCAAATGAGGCCCAGGTGGGCTTAATTCAGCCAATGAGGTCAACCAATACCTTCGACCACGCCCCACAGCGAAAGGCCTCACTTACCTGGCCCGCAAGGCCGCCTCTTTTTCCCTTCTTCCTCGTCCTTTCTGACGTAACTAACTCACCTTCACCCTATACTTGGTTGGATTTTCTGAAACAGGGATTTTCCCTAAAGAACTCATCTTTGTTACCAGAGTAGAGCAAGGAAGCTTAGGTAGCAGCAGCATCCTGGACCAGAACCTTCAGCATCCATACATTTGCATGTGAAAAAATATGTAGATTAACCCAGAGCTATTTAGAGCAGTGGTTCTCAATCTGTGGGTCCCAACCCTTGGGGTCAAAGGACCCTTTCACAAGGGTTGCCCGATTCAGAACACTAGCAAAATGACAGTGATAAAGTAGCAATGAAAATAATTTTATGGATGAAACATATAACTTTCCTCTAGTTCTTAAATACGTCCTCTCCCTACTATCATGATCCCAATTCTACCTTACAAATCTGGCTAGACCAGAGGATGTACACTGGTACAGATAGCAATTGGAAAAACAGGGAATCCAGGACAGATGATCCCTTCGGGACCAGTGGTGAGAGTGGCGATACCTGGAGGGTAGAAGGAAGGTGGGGTAGAAAGCGGAACCGATGACAAGAATCTACGTATATCCTTCTCCCTGGGGGATGGACAACAGAAAAGTGGGTGAAGGGAGATGTCGGACAGTGTAAGATATGACAAAATAATAATTTATAAATTATGAAGGGTTCCCGAGGGAGTGGGGAGTGGGGAGGGAGGGAAAAATGAAGGGCTCCAGTAGAAGGCAACTGTTTTGAGAACGATGATGGCAACAAGTGTACAAATGTGCTTGACACAATGGATGGATGGATGGATTGTGAGAAGAATTGTACGAGCCTCCAATGCAATGATTAAAAATAATTTTGTGGTTGAAGGGGTCACCACCACATGAGCAACTGTATTAAAGGGTTGAGAGCCACTGGTTTAGAGAAAAGACTTGCCTTTAAAGGGAAGCCTCGCAGGCAGAAGAGTGGGGTGGGAAGACTGGTTTAAACCTTTTGAGCAAACCTAACTTTAGATGCATCTGGGCAGGAAAAGTCTGTACCCCAAAGAAACCCCCCTTCTAGGACCAAGTTAAAGGGAACCAGCACCACGCTGCTGTGTTCTCTGCTGACTCAGCAAGTGAGTGGAAGCGGAGCGAACACAGCAAGAAGGAGACGGCCGAGCGTGGACATGTCCCATTGCCCCTGGTCCTCGGAGGCTAGGTACGAGAGAGAAGAACTAGCTAGTCTGCAGTTGCTGGGTTTCTTGAGTGGGTAACACTGTCAGGTGTCTCAGGTGGGAAATAACTCGCTTCTTGGCTTTTCACACCGAAGCCTGGCTTGTGATCCAAGTGGGTTTTTAGAAAGAAGAGAAGTTTCAGGTTAGACAGTTACTGAACACAGGCAACCTCATGGGACTGCACCCCCACACGCGGTGACCTGAGGCCAGAGAAAACTCAGGCCAGAAGGAAGTGGTCTTGAGTTTGCGGCATTTAGGGCCTTTGGCTGGGAGGTGTGGTGTCGACACGGTACTGGTTCACCTCATTAGCTAAATTAAGCACACCTGGCCTAGTTTGGGGCCTACCTGGCTCGGGCCTGAATGGCACATGCCACTTAGCTTTTATGACTTCCAACCTCCTGTAAGGAGGGGCGGGGAGGGGCTCCAGGCATGGAGTGGGACACCCCCGTCCCATTTCTTGAAAGAGTTCACATTGAACCCGCTTTGTAATCCAAGTGGGTTTTTATGAAGGACAGGACAACTTTCAGGTTTTACAATCTCCAGGGCTTCACATTGGGCATGAGCACCCACGTGTGCAGCTCTCAGGGGAGGGGGGAGTCAAGGGAGAGGGTTCAGAGGCCAGAGAGTGAAGGGGGGCTGAAGGGCAGGGCCAAGAGTGGCTGCTGCGATAAGAGAGTGTCCCAGAGCGAGCTCCTGGCCTTTATTCTAGGCTCCCTCTAGGCTGGGGGAAGGTGTGGTTGAAGGTATTGGTTGACCCCATTGGCTGGGTTAAGCCCACCTTGATCATTTCATGAGCTTGGGCCTAGTTTGGACCACCCAGGTGTACCTCCCACCTGGCTTGGGGCCTTAAGTATGAGCATGCTCAGTTTGGGGTCTTCATAGGTGACTAATGGTTGCCTGATTTCCTTCCAACCTCCTTTAAGGGGCCTTTGCAGGCATGGGAGTGACAACCCACCCTGTCCCTCAATCTAGCTACCTAACAAGATTTGTGTGGATTGAGTCTATGATATGACCTATCCATGGAGCCTATGGCTGAAAAGGTGTGTGCAGGGGCCAGCTAGCCTGAAGTGTAGGGAGCAGTGTGTGAACTCCCAAATTTTCATTTGACCTAGTTTGTCTGGCTAGGGTTGAGTTGACCAGAACCTACTCAAATGAAAAGAGCAACGTTTGACACTGTGAGCTGGTGGGCCCACGGCTACAATTCTGATGGCTTTTGCCCTAAACGGCATGTCACCTGTGGAGGCAGATGCTCCGAGTTGCAACCGAAAAGAAGATTCTTCACATCAAAGAATATGCCTATCTCTTCAGGCTACTTGGTTGAAAGGGAGGGACAGTTTAGAAATTGGATATTTAAAATCGAGGGCAATAAAGGCATGAAGTAGCTGTTCATGTGTTTTCATGGGTGTGCTTAGTCTCAAAATGAGTTTGACAGGGGAGAGTCCCCACTGAATCATGTCCTTTTTTCCAGTGGAGTCTGGGGACGTGAGAGTGGGGGACATTGTTAATAGGATTCTGCTGTGAGTGTTAACGTGGTGCATTATGACTCCCTAATTGTAGAAGAGGGAGTGGAGAGAGGGATTAAGTTAATTCTGCATGTAGAGAAGGGAGAAGGGTTCAGAGGACCAGTGGGTGGCCTGTGGTGAAGTAAGCTGACCTGGGATGGCTCTCCTGTTCATGTCTTTCTAACTCCCACCAAATGATCAGGTGGGATCATGCAAAGAGAGTACATGAAACACTAGTCGAGAGGGAATTTGGAGCTTAAATTCTGAGGACTAAGTTTGCAGAAGGCTACAGAACACCGAAATGCCTAAATTCATTTGTAAGTGTCCTCATTGATTCAGCCTTCAATTCTTTCTCACCATCTACTTGGCACTGTGAATAGCCTTGCCCCCAGCAGAGGGTATTAGAACCCTTCCCCTAGTCGGGGTGTGTGTGTGTCTCGGGTGTGTGTGTGTGTAGGGGGGTCTACCTCTTAGGGTTTGCCTGCGTGTGCCCTTCATGGAATTTGGGGTTCTAGAGTCTGCATGATTATGAATCACCTCCCGAATACCTTGGTTGGAACGGCCAGAACCAATCCTGTAAGCTTTTTGATCTAGTACGATGTCTGTGTCCCGATCCCAGTCGCCCCACTCCCGTGTCTGCCGCCCTGCCTGCAGCTGTGATGTTTTGACCTGCCACCAGTGGTGTTTGTAACCGTGTTTCTTTGTGCCTCGTGGCCTATTGAGTGCCCACATGTCTGTAAAGCTTGGACAGCATTCTGGCCTCATCCTGATGGTCTTCATGATGGCTTCCCTCAACCGGATGAACGGTCCCCATGTCATTACCAATTGTATTTGAATTGGGGATCTCTTTTCTCTGCTACAACAGAGGATTGGTCAGTTTTTGCTATTCCACTGGGCCATCTCAGAAGCAGCAGGAGAGTGGACCCGATGGCTGCCGAGAGCCACTAGCAGACATGTGTAAGATCCCTGCCTGATGAGGGGGAGGGAACCGCAGCACCACGATTTTGAGGCAGAGCAATTCACCCCATTAGGAATCACATAATCCTATCAACATCTCCCGCGCCCTCTCTTCCCGGGGGCGGGGGGG